AAAGTTTGTATTGTACGATGTCAGTTTAAGATCATGTACATCCACTCTCTTCCTTTCTTCGATTATTTCGTTGCTGAAGCCAGCAAGGTAATTTCGGATTTTTTCACTGTAATTATCGAACGCAATCTTGAAATCTAACTTTATTTGCGATATAACTTCATCCACATATTGTTTGTTTGCAACATCAGCGGCATCTGTTGGTAGTTTTACGTTACACATCTTCAAATGACCAACATCGATATCACCGGTTGGAGTATGTGAAAATCCAGATCTGACTGTCACCATCTGAGCTGAGCGTGGAAACGAACCACGTCCGAATTTATCGAGACTCATTATGCTAATGACTAAAGTATTGTACGTCGGCACTTTGCCTCGCCAATTAGCCCCGTCACGGAAGTATCACGGAAGTGTCACGCAAGTGTCACGGAACACGAAAATGTCAAGGAAGTGTCAAGGAAGTGTCACGGATCTGTCACGGAGGTGTCACGGAAGTGTCGAGGAAGTGTCACGGAAGTGTCAAGGAAGTGTCACGGAAGTGTCACGGAAGTATCACGGAACACGGAAATGTCACCGAATCGTCACACATGTTTTATTATGCCTGCCTCTTCTAATTCGTTCAAAATGGCAACAATCTCGTTATCGTTTGATGTATTTCCAGCTTGCTGTGATGCAATGAGCAACTTCAATCTATCTACCAATTCATTTGGATCATCCCAATACATGTATTCGATAGGTGCTGTGTTGTATGTCAACTTCAAACCACGACCACTGGAATTTGATCTGAACATTGGACGAATAATTTCTACGAATTTGAGTCTAGAGGAAGACTTCATACGCCCTGCAGAATTCAGATGAGCTTTGGTGAGCAAGAGTATTTGCTTGTATGGGTTCGTATCATCTTTGGCAAAGGAAGGATCATTATAGAAGAGTAATTGATAGAGGCCTGGGGTGCCACGGAACCGAAAGCCATCAACGAGTAAATCTCCATTTCTTTGATGGAAATTCATTTCTTTTCCGTTGAGAGACCATTTCGATGTTACTGGATCATATTTGGGACCATAAACCGTATCGATATTTTCATCATTTGTCCAGTATTCAGTCAGATATTTTTGAGCCATCGCAGGATACTGATCAACGTAATCATGTATTGCAGCCTGTGAGATATTCTCACTATCTGCAAAAAGTTCATCATCAGCATCGTCATAACCGTCCTCATCATCATCTTCAGTATGCCCAGCATTATCAGCCACATCCATCATAGGTATAAAATTAGTTTGATTCAAATCCGATTGCTCCCTCTCCCCCTCCCTATCCTCATCCTTCTTCTCCTTCTTCAACCCCAACGACTTTTCTCTGCTTCACTTGATGTTTGAAAGTGTTCCATCGAGTTTTTCTTCTATGACCTTGGACATGGTGGCAATTTGTTTCAAAGGTGATGCCAGTGGTTTAAATATTTTCTGTAACGCTTCATCATCCTCTGACTTGCCTAATTTCAGAGCTATATATTTCCGTCTGATTGATTTCGATATTTCGTTGATTTTTTTCTTGCGTAGCGCATCAGCAACGTCATCATGCATCCCGGTTAACGTCATCTTGATGAATGACCCAAAGATCACAGCCTTATAAACTTATCGAAACCATTTCTGTATCTGCCAGCGTTTATGTCAAAAGTTTTTGCAATCACCATCGCGCCATATTGGTTGGAATTCCAAAACTCTGAACACAACGCTTTGAATTGATCGAATGACATGTCTGGTGACACATGCTCATCAAACACATGCTTCAGATTCATTTCATCTTGTCGAAATAACACCACCAGGTTACTGTTGTCTCGCACCAGCTGCTTTGATATCTTGGAATAGGTCTGGCATAGGTATGCCACGTCAATGTCCTTGTGTCTACACATTGAGAAATATTCTCGAATTTTCTGCTGCTTGTCACATGACACATCATCGAAAATGAATATCGAGTGATTCTTTGCTTCTGATGGACTAATGACCTCGTCATTCCCTTTGAAGGGGAAATAACCAACGCCTTTCACTGAATCCAACACTTGTTGCAGCAATTGATATTTCGGTTGGTACAACGACTTTGAATACACGTAAACGTTCTTGAATTTCGCGCCATTTGGATTGAACAGCAGGGAAAGCATCGCATTGGTCTTTCCACATCCGCTTGGTCCGCAGAAGATTGCTCTGAACGAATGGGGAAGCAGTTTCCCATGTTTACTACTCGATGACTTGATTGATGAAATTTCATCCAAATTCTCGATGGGCAACGTCCGTTCTTGTTGAACGATCTCCATCATCTGATGAGAGTAGTAGTCGAGCTGTCTACACGTCAGTCTTTATGTTGCTCTACCACGGAGAGGGTGTGCTCAATTCTTTGATCGATAAACTTCCCATCGAATTACACATTCCAGGTTACAGATTTTGTGGTCCAGGTACCAAACTCGATAAGAGACTTGCTAGAGGAGACACCGGCATCAATCCGTTGGACGACGCGTGTCGAGAACACGATATCGCCCATTCACAAAATTCCTCAATAGAAGACAGACACAGAGCTGATTGGATATTGGAAAATCGAGCATGGGAGAGAGTCAAGTCGAAGAACGCTAAATTCAAAGAGAAGGCTGCTGCTTGGCTTGTCACCACCGGAATGAAGGTCAAACGAAAACTTGGCATGGGTCTTGTATCACAGCAATCCCTATCCAACATTATCAAATTCATAAAAAATGTACTATCAAAGTCCGCAAAGTCAGATGGTGGTGGTGGTAATACAACATCAGGAAGTGGTTTGAATAAATCTGCATTGAAAGCACTTCATGCAGCCAGAATGGCAGTCAAGAGGGCTGGCGGTAAAAAAAGAATGAGAGTACCAAGAATCATACCTCTTCCACACAGTGGCGGTATACTACCATTGATACTAATCTTTGCTGCCTTGGGAGCCCTAGGATCTCTAGCTGGAGGAGCCGGAGCAGTCGCAAAGACAGTCATTGATGCGAAAAATGCAAAGAAAAAGCTCGAAGAAGATCAAAGACATAATAAAGCAATGGAGGCTATCGGCAAGCAGGGTTCCGGCCTATTTTTACGCAAAACATCAAGAGGATTTGGACTGTACTTGAAGAAACAATCAAAAAACTTCTAGACAAGCTACCCAATAAATCAATGTACGATAAAGATGTGATAAAGTATGCCAAACAGCTGAGAATACCGTATTTTCGAGGTGTTTTTATGCGGGACACTCTACCTTCCACCGGTGTGCTATATTGAATTTGGATACCTCCAATCATGCGGGCACTCATTGGGTGGCTTACATAAAAAATGATGAAAAAGTCTTATATTTCGATAGTTATGGCAATCTGAAACCGCCCAGAGAATTGGCTCAATATTTGGGTACCGGCACGAAAATCATGTACAATAACGAGCAATACCAAAATTTCAATCAAAGTAATTGTGGACGTCTATGTCTAGAATTCCTCTTCAATGAAACCAAGTAACACAGTCATTGTGCATCAGTCATGTCTCTGATTGTGACGTTGAAAGGTCGTACATCTACGCTCTCCATAGACTTTTTGACACCACTTTAACTCGATCCAGACTCTGATTACGGACTAGCATTGTTGGGATTTCATTCATACAACAGTATACCAAATATCGACAAAGGATCAAAGTTTTATCTGCAAGATAAGACCAAGGCGGGAAAGATCATCGATATTCCCGAAGGTTCATACGACATTGTGGACAATGAGACATTTATACGCAAAGAATTGGGTATATCGAGTGCAAAGGACGTTGATGATATATTCTCGCTCAAGCCCAACAATAATACACTAAAGTGTGAGATTTCGAGCCAAAGGTTTGCCATCGATTTTCGCCCGAAGGATAGCATAGCTCAAGTCTTGGGATTTCCGAATAGATTGTTGAACGCACAACAAGTCCACACTTCCGATTTGCCGGTCAGCATAACCAAAGTGAGAACCATTCACATTGATAGCAACGTTACTGCTGGAGCTCTCTACAACGACAGACCATCACATACGATCTACGAGTTTGCAGTTGCAGTCGATCCTGGTTACGCCATAGACAAGACTCCCAGAAATCTAATCTACCTACCTATAGTCAGTAGGCGGGAATTGCCAAACATTACACTCCAGATTCTCGACCAAGATTTCAGAGAGGTGAATTTCAGAGGTGAAGAAATCATTATAAGATTGGAATTGAAGAAACTCGCAAGATGGTACTAGTGTTTGATAACTCCTATAAATCAGACGATCAGCCATCATCATCACCATCATCAGCATCAGTTCCCTCGACAACATACACCAAAGCAGTCGTGTCTTCGAAGAGCAGCAACAGAAAAACATTGACATTATCCAGTGTCTTGTTTCTGAAATCACTCAAAGACTACAATGTTGTTAGCACCCGTGTTCGACGTTTTCCGCAAACCCAGACTCGACGAAAGCATCACTAAAGTGGAATGGCGTACCTATTATCCATATGTGATATATTTTATATCATTATTATATATCATTCGAGAACAATGATGTCATCGATATAACGGTTAATCAAGCAGATTCGTGGTTGGCCATGTTTGAAGGCATCATTACCATCAAGGGTAAATTGAAGTGACCGGTGGTGGTACTGGTACATTAACCCACAATGCTGGAGCTTATCTCTTTGATTCCTGCACCTATGAATTGGGTAATAAAGAATTGGATACTGTCAGATATCCTGGAATAACGAGTACTGTGCGAGGATACTTGTGTTATACGCCTGAAGACTCACGTCATCTAGCCATAGCAGGCTGGAACTATCCCAATGCTCCGATCCTCAACACCGATGGTACGTTTAGCATGAACATTCCACTGAAACATTTGTTTTCCATCTTCAATGATCATCAAGTGGCAACGTGGGGCAAGCAGTCAATCCGTTTAGTGAGAGCTCGCAATGATGCCAACAGTGTGAAGGTTGTCGAGAGAGCGAATACTGCTTTGCCAGGATCTCCTCAGACTCAGAGTATTGCTAAAATAACGATTGAAAGCATCAATTTGAAAGTGCCGCATCTTACACCCAACGATGACATAAAGTTGCAGCTGTTGACACGTATCAAAGCAGATGAGTCTATGATGATACCGTTTCGTCGATGGGAATTGCACGAATTACCAGCACTCACACAAGGATCCACCATAGAAATCTGGTCGGTCAAGACGTGTTCTGCATTAGAGAGTCCCAGATATGTTATAGTATTTTTCCAAACGAAGAAAGCCGATGATTTGCATGAAGACGTCACCTTGTTCGATAATGCCAACATCAAATACATACGATTGGCTCTGAATAGCGACTATTATCCGCAAGAGAGGATGCTATTGGACTTTTCCAAAGACCAATATGCCGACGCTCACTTCAACTATACAGAGTTCAACAAGAGCTACCATAACAGTCAACAAAAACGCTCTCTAGTGAATTTCAATGAATTCAAAACCCGACCAATGTTTGTTATCGATTGCTCGAGGCGCCATCTAGGCATGAAGTCGTCTACAGTTGACATAAAGTTGGACATTGAAGCGACGACAGGTTTCCCTCCCGACACCAAAGCCTATTGCATCATCGTTCACGACCAAATCATAGAACACCTCCCACTCAGCGAAATTGTTCGAAATATCACCTAGTTCTAGGTGTTGATGTCGCACCAGTCAGACGTCAGTTTGCTCCGAAGAGTCATGGAGATCGCACTGGTTGACATTCAAGCGTTCATGGTTGAGGGTGAATTCATTCCAAAGGAAATGACTATTCGAATTGGCAAAAAGACGAGTCATCATCTATTCAAGCCATCTGTAGAGTTTTCCAGTTTGAACAAAGAAGATAAAAAGATGGCGAATCATGTGGAACGTTACGTTCATGGTTTAAAATATTCCAGTGGTTGTGTGGATTTGAATGAGTTGGATCAAATACTACGAGATAACCTGCAGCAGACAAACATCATCTACGTAAGAGGCCATCAAAAGATTCAGTTTTTGCAGCGAAAATGTGCAGATTTGGAGATGACCAATCACATTGTCAATTTGGAAGATTTTGACAATTCTTGGTGGCAGCCAATAACGTTCCTGCAATCCATTCCACCCTGCATGAATCATTTCCATGGAGGAAGGTTCCAGTGCAGTCTCCACAATGTCGATACTTTATATAATTGGTTATGTAATTTATTGCCAAAATAAAAAACTTTATAATAATTTCAGAGTTTTTATTCATCACATCCCTTATTTCTCAGTATTCCAACAATAACATTTGAGATTAAAATAAGTGAACATATCACTGTACAACAAAGTGTCAAAATTTCAATGACAGTATCCTGATCCAATTTTGCGGAGGATTTTTTCAATGTAAGTGTCTGCCAGTCTCCCATTTCGCCGTCACTGCCATCAGAAAACGATAATTTCAATTTATAGTCGATGCTGCTTTCATTAACATGTTGTGGCATGTCGATTGAATATACAGGTAGTTTGTTATCATTGACATACATTCTAGTCATCATCTTCCAATCACAATGTTGTGTACGATTCACATCAAAACATACGGCTACATTCCTTGTATTGTACGGTATGTTTGTGTAGAAGACGTTGTCGCTCAGAGCTGTCAATAGAATGAAGCTTGCTTTCAGTATCGCCATCTAGTAGCTGTGTTGGTTGAATTCTTCTTCTTCTCGATGTAGGTGTAGCTGTGCGTCTCGGTTCTGTGAACACCTTATCTCAAACGCTCAGTTGCTCGAAATCTTTAAACAGGTCAACTTTCTGCTCATACAATTGGATGTCTGCACTGAGCTGTCTAACCTTCAAACCAAATTCTTCTAGTGCACGTCTGTATTCGTCAGAAGACATGATACAACTGTTTTACACGTCCATACCTTCAATTCACATCCTATTACAACACTTTATCTCTCTTTCTCTCCCTCTTTCTCACTCTCTCTTCTTCTTCTCTTTTCTCTCTCTCCCTCTCTTTCTCGTACACATCCAGTCAAGTGTGAGGGTTCAAGAGGAAAGAATACACAGAAAAGTCTATTGATTGTTTCTATATTCTGAGTATAATAAAAAATTGTTTTCGTATTCTTCCACTCCCCACATACATCATATCACAAACACCATCTGTCATACGTCATATGTCATGTATTACGTGACATCAGATATTTTTTGAAAATCTGACAACACCTTATCGACTTCATAAATAATAATTTCCAACAATGTGACGGTTATCGCTTTACACGACTCTTATCAGCGGAAGCTCCATTTGGTGTTGTGTGTATATTGTCGATAAAACTAACATCGAAATATTTCACCATAAATTTATTTCGATATAATACCGTCTTATCTCTAGAACGCATCTCTCGCTTTGCTTTACCTCTACAGATCCGTTGCAAAGATAAGCGTGCGCCAGCCATGGATATTATTTTCGACTCGAAGTTTCTTATCTCTGGAACGCATCTCTCGCTTTGCTCTACCTCTACAGATCCGTTGCAAAGATAAGCGCGCCAGCGACGGCATACAGAATAACAACTTTATGTAAATATTTCATCATAATTTATATTATTTCGATAATTGCGATAAGGATTTTCAATCTACCGGAATGCGCGCGTGGTAATCGCAACAACAATGTTGCATAGCGTAATCATCGTAAGGGATCTTGTGCTTGCCGGTCTGCTCCAATGCTGCATGTAACATTCCAAACTATAATTAATATCATGTGGTGGTCGTGGCTCTGATGGCTGCGCGTCGGACTCGAGAGTCGGGGACCCGAGATCGATTCCCAACACAGACCCAACACTTTTTTTATTCAATTCTAAATATAAATTGGATCGACGATGACGTCATCATACGAATAATGTATAACATGCAGGCGACTATCTATATTTGAATTTTGCGCCATTTGCAGACTATCTGGACTTAAAGTTCGCGCCGTCGACAAAAGTAGTACAAACGTCTTATCAACCTATATATAGCTTTGCTCGCTGATCCTCGACGATCCCATTTGAATACGGTTTTCATAGTGAAACTTTCATGGCCTCCTGAATGGCTCAGTGTGTATATACGCTGCCTCATAATGCAAAGGTCCCGAGTTCGATCCCCAGCGGTGAAGGTTTTTTTCAAATTTATTCACGATGATGATGCCATGACGTCACACAATTTGAGTTTCGCGCCATTTTCAGACTATCTAGACTTGAAGTTCGTGCCGTCGACAAAAGTAGAGGAGTGGGGAATGCTGCTCTCTGATTGGCTAGCCGAGTCACGTGGTTGGGTGGAGGGGTGGGGGTCATCCATCCTCTCCCGACTCCTACTATCGAGTACTCTCAATAACATTGAAATGAGAAAAAAAACGGAAATCAGTATATAGGGAAAGTTAAATTTCTCATACATTGAAAGTGCTTCGATGGGTGAAGAATAGTGTATTTCCAAAATATTATTCTTTCGATACTCTGTTTCCTAGAGTATCTCGAAGATGTTTTAAATGAACATTATATACACTGACAGAGCTCCGAAAAATGAATGTGTCGAATAGAGTATTTCTCATCTGAAAAATCATTCGGTGAAAAACTTGAAATAACTAGAGTCATCAATTATATCAATACAGAGGTTTCAGGACTGTTATAGGTTTCGGAGAAGAACAGTAAATGTACTCTTTGATTGTAGTAACACACGTTGATGAATGACCGTAATTCGTAAACAGTGTAGCCTTCAACTCATGCTTTATTAAATTATCGAGTGACTGTTATTGTATCGTAATAACGAAACTTATTGAGCTTTATAGCTATAATAAGACAGCTAGGTTGTCCCCTATTCATTTAAATTTGTTCATGGAGGTTATTCAATTTTCAATAACCGTTGTCCGATTTCTCTCTCAGTGTAACGCAACATAACGCTAAATTGCTGCAACAAAAACTTCACTCGATCACACCTCGAAATCAGAACAACCGTATTCAACAGAGGAAATGTAGGAAGCACGAGTTAACAGACCGACTGGACCGACTTGATTCTGATAACTGTCACGAGATACGAGTTGCATGCGGAGCACGATGTAGGGAAGATAGTGTTGAAACAGCTATGCTTTTCCCTATGTTATTATTCAACCAAACCGCTTTACGTACAGCACTCTTGATGGCACTGATTTTAATTCGTTGAACGGATATAGTGCATTCGTGCCTGTAGAGGGCCATCGAAATCATGGAAATTGTTGTCAAGATTGTGAATTTTGTGGTTATGTTTTATTGTTATGACAGAGATGTATGTTATGACACTTTGACGTCTAACGCGAGACAAATTCATCATTTCAAGATGAATATTTGTTGGGCACGAAAGAAGAAAAAATATGGAAATTTCAAAGTCTGAAGTAACCAGCGAATGGTTTTTATCGATTTCTCGTGCGTATTTTCAAGAAGGTACATAGTTTTTTCGTCTGTGTGAGTATGTGATTGTGTCTGGTATTGCTGATGCCGACTCTCGATGAGAATCCAAAAATACTGCCAAACCTGGAGAAACAGCAAAACAGAGTGGTAAACCTGACTAATGTATGAAAAAGTCTAAAGTGATTTCAACAAAACATCAAATATATTGGGAAATTATTTACGAGATTATTCCACATCAAGAGTTGAACGGTGAAGCAGGTACTAGTGTACTAGTTGACTGTTCTTCCAAAATTCTCATGAATGGAAGTTGGAAGATGAGTAGCAGGTAAGTGGTAGGTGATACAAGGTTTGATATAATTTCCATGATCAAGGCAATGTTGTTGGTTTCTACTTTCAAATCAACATTTTATTAAGAAATGATAGAATTCCTTGAAATATCGATGAAAATACAAGATAATCTGGATCATAAAACTTGAAGAACAAAATATAATATAATACGAAAATGGATAACAGAAACACAACTGCTAGTAACTGTACATTTTATTCAAGAAAGGACTTATCACACTATCACAGGAACACCAGGAAAAACTAGAAAAATCACTCGAAAAATATAAATTCACGGATCACGAATATAGGTTATGAATTCATCGAAATCACAATATCAAAAACAGCTGTTCTGCCAACGCAAGGTTGGCATAACGACATAAAACTTATGATAATTTGTATTATCATCAGTTCTACCAACCTTGGAGCTGACGCCCCCTTCAGGAAAACTGATAACTCTTACGTTAAGCGATTTGGTTGAAACAACTGTGATTAGACCATCTTCCCTCCATCGTGATGCGGAGTGTGCCAATTGACTGAAAAAATCTTGTTCGTCTGTACTCGAGACACATTCGTCAATGATCGTCATTCATTTCATAGGAATGATTCGATAACAAGTTACAGTAATATGATTCAGATTCACTTGTCTGTGAAAATTATCATAGGATTAGACATTATTGTCATCACAAAAAGAACGATGAATTCAATTGATATACTCCTAATGAAACGTTTCTAGTTATGGCAACTAGTCGTTGGTTTGGAAAAGAGTAGCAACCTCTGGTGACTAAATCAGAACCACCTTCCTGCTGGGGTTAGGAAGAGCGGGACCTACAGCTTATAGTGGAATCCGAACCACTTCTAGGGCATCGAGGTGCTGCGATACACTTTGGTCCCTACGGATTTTCTGAAGAGAATCAAGGACTCACTCAAGTGCAGGAAATGCAAAATAATTTATAATGAAACGTGTCCTGTAATTTCCATTATTCAGATAGGCAACCCTGTTCTGAACAATCATTACCTATCCATTAGCGCAGCTTACGGGTTTATTGTTTATTTTAATAACAGTCTCCAATATTTCTCTGAATCTTTTGCAATTCACCATCAAATTTGTCATAAAAAGTCCTTCTCAGGACTCTGGGACAATTTATGAGTATTGAGGTAAGCTAAATGAGTTATTTCTGTCTTATTGATCATCTGGTTTATTCACATCGAATCTGAGGTCAAAATAGTTTTCACACCCAAAAGAAACGGCTTTATTTTAATGGCACACTTCCGCAGTGGTACTCGCAATCCTGATGGAAGTTGGACCTAATTCCCTGAGGTCATATATCAAGCAGTTTTCTAAGGCTTTTCCAGAAGTCGATATCGACAATGATGGTTTCAAACATCACAAGCTCAACCTTGTTCAAAGATTCGAAAATAAACATTGTATCTGCAAGGGAAAGTCAACTGGTAGACCATCTGTTTTAACCGAAGATGTTGTTGAAGTCATTAGAAGATGAGTGGAACAAAGTCCTAAGAAATCCATTGCGGAGTTATCTGTTCAAACAGGTTGGTAGGCATATTCCTCAAATATAACTTCATGAATATCACAAATCAGAAAAAATTCAAGCTTTCCAGACATTTTATGGGGTTCAACCCTGAGACAATGAAAAAAAAGAATCTCTGACCTTCAATATTTTATTTTTTGTTCACAGGACTATCAGTGGGAACTTTTCATAAGGCACTCACTTGTAATTTACATATGCATCCCTACGAAATATCAGTGGTTCAGCAGTTACATTCACCTGATTATAACTTACAATAATTACAGTATTGCCAATGGTTCAATCAGAATGTAAATAACAATGATTTACTGGATTCAACCTTCTTTTCTGATGAAGCATGGGTACATTCATCTGGATATGTGAATAGCCAGAATTATCGAACATGGGCAACAGAAAACCCTCACGAATTCTTAGAATCACCCCTACATCCCCAAAAAATTGGTGTCTGGATTGCTGTTTCGAGAAAAAGAATACTTGGCCCTATTTTCTTCAGGAAGACAATAACAGGTGCAAGATATCGTGTCATTTCACAAGAAGCTTTCGAACAAATTCAATGCATGATGATGAAATTCAAATGGGCTTTTTCCAACAAGATGGAGCTACAGCACATACCGCAAACGAAATCATTCGGTTTTTGGAGGAATTTTATGGAAACCAGATAATCAGCAGAGGTTTGTGGCCACCCCGCAGCCCGGAACTAACACCTCTAGATTTTTATTCGTTTGGTCGAATGAAAAACAACATTTTCAAAAATAGAATTAATACCCTAGAGTAGCTACAGGCAGCAAATATTGAAGAGGTGGGAAGTATCACTTGAAATGAACTTCAGCAGCGTGTTTTCGATGAAACGCAGAGTTGATTTATGTTTGGATAGTGGAGGTGGGCATATTGAACATTTATTGTAATTCAATCTAGAATTGTCATTTCCAGAATAAAAAGCATTCAATGAATATCCGGTGTATAATTCCTGTCTGGTTTTTATTTGGATTCCAAAACTGATATTCATGAAATAATTTTCACCTCTAAACATTTGTGGGCATAATAAACATTGACTGTATTTCAATATAGAATTTTCATTTAGAGAATTCAGAGCTTTCAATGAATTGCTGATGTATCATTCCTGTCTGGTTTTCATTTGGATTCCAAAACTATTATTCACGAAATATTTTTTTCCTCTTAACATTTGTGGGCATAATGAACATTGACTGTTTTTCAATTTAGAATTGTCATTTAGAGAATATAAGCGTTCAATTCATTGCAAGTGTATTAGCCATGTCTGGTTCTTATATGGATTCCAAAATTGTTATTGATAACATAATATTTTCCTCTAAACATTTGTGGGTATAATGAACATTAACTGTATTTCAATTTAGAATTATCATTTAGAGAAATTAAAGCGTTGAATCCATTGCAAGTGTATTATTCCTGTCTGGTTTTTATTTGGATTCCGAAATCATCTTCGATAAATAGTTATTTTTGTATCTAGAGCGCGAAATGCTACTTTGGTGATCGAGATCTGATTTTTTTCAACAAGGCGTAGCCGAGTTAAAAGAATAGTCGAGATGACCAAAGTATTTCGCGCTCGAGTTGCAAACAACATTTTTCCTACAAACGTCAAAAAAAAAAGTTCTGAAGTAATAATATGCTCAGCTTGAAATGAAAAATAGTGTTGAACTGGCTTAAAAGGCCTCTCCCTATCCTCCATAGGTACGCACGATGTTCCACGAACATAATAGGAATTTCCTTTCGTGCGCTCCAAGAGATAAAACAAAGTTATTGTTGAAAATTCAGAAATAAATGATTTCGTGGATGTTTGCTCGATTGGGGACCATAAGGTTGAAATATGAATATTTTATATATTTTACATAACAATGCGCAAAGTAGGTAGGTACTTCGCGCACTGTTTTACTTCGCGCATTGTTTTGTGCAAGGTATCATGGTAACGTAGAAAACTGAAAAAAGGTGTCACTTCGCAATTTGTTATCAATGCGCGAACCTTGTCATTTTTTGACGTTTGTAGAAAAATAATATTTTCCCTCAAACATTTGTGGATGTAATGAACATCAACTGTATTTCAATTTAGAATTGTCATTTAGAGAAGATAAAGCGTTCAATTCATCGCAGGTGTATGATAATTCCTGTCTGGTTTCCATTTGGATATCAAAATCATTATTGATGTTATTTTTCTTCTTCTTCAAACATTTTTTTGCAATCGTTGCCCTATTTTAAATTCAATTTCCTACGGCACTGCTTTTCACCAAATCCATGATGCCAACAGTGCAACTTTGGTTGCCTAAATATTTTGGTCACGTGGGGTACAGTAATTTATGAAGACCCAGTACTTGTTCAAAACAGTCCCCTCGATATTCTCTTCATCATGAAAAAATATTTGTTGACACCCTTTCCATATTTTACAGACAAAGTGGACGAGAAACTGCACAGACGGACAACTGTTAGAATGGGCATCAGAGTGGTGCAAAGAGCCTTCGCTCCGCCTTCCCCAGACATGTACGCCCCTGGCATTGCGAAGAAGTCGTGCAGAGGGAAAGACAAACAACACAGAAAAGCACTTTTATTTGGATGCAGGAGCGCCCCCCTGGAGACGAAATACTCGGAAAATGAACAAAGTATGTTTTTTCTTCATTCGCTCTATACCAGACAGTTCATTGACATGTGGTCGGAAGTGTGTGAAATAAAAGTTCTACACCTTTTGTAGGTTGATCGAGGTTGAAGAAAGTTCATTTTTCTACTACTGCTATGAAAAGTAGCACATTTTTCATAACTTGCTTATAGTTTCAAAACCATGTATTGTCAAACTGTGAGAAATATTTTTTCTCACGGCACTTTGCCAACACCACATATATTTCCATGGTTAATCAACAAAAATCGACAAAACTCGGCTGTTGTTCAGCTTTGAATAGTTGTCACAACTGTCAGAAGATGTTCTTTAATTCTTGCGGGTAGTTATCATTAGTGCGTTTGATAGAAATCGCATTCTCCATATTTCATTCGATTTTGTTCTTGTCTCTTCGAATGAAAATGAAGGTTATGAATCAATGTACAGGGTGGGCCAAATGGGGCAATTTTAAAGGGAAGGTCCTATATATTCCCGTACAAGATAGTAAAAAACTGATGTCGGTGCCTGTTAATAAATAATTCACATGACAAACTCAGAGGTGAAAACCGCATGTCGATATATTTCTTTATCACAGCATTACAAGGTGTTTTTCGAAAATGTGAAGTTCTGGAAAGTGGCTGAAACTCTTCTTTGCAAATACTCTTCGTTCTCAAGAAAATATTTTCAAAGCATTGTGTTCGTCATCGCAATTGATCCTCAGGCACTGCAATCAGTCACCGTATACCTTGTTACGAAATAGAACTCTTTCTTTAGGAAGAACAAATTATATTCTTGAACTAGATATAGTAAAGCTCGATTTCAGTGCATCGTACAATGAAAGTTCTACACCCTTTGTGGGTTGATCGAGGTTGTCGAAAAATCATTTTCATATTTCATTCGATTTCGTTTTCGTCTCTTCGAATGGAAATAATGGTTGAAGGGGTAGTACTACTCCCGTACAAGATAGTGAACAACTGATGTCGGCGCCTGTTGATCAATCCACATGACAAACTCAAAGGTGAAAATCACATGCTTCGAAAATGTGAATTTTTGAGAAGTGAATAAAACTCTTTGTTTTGCAAATATTCTCCGTTTTCAAGGAAACATTTTCAAAGCATTGTGTTCGTCATCAAAATTGATCCTCAGGCACTGAAAACAGTCACCGTATACCTAGTTACGGAATAGAACTTTTCCTTTGAGAAGAACAAATTATATTCTTGAACTAGATATAGGAAAGGACGATTTCAGTGCCTCGAGATAATTTTTATCACAAACTCAATGTTAAGCAGTTTTTTTCTTGAGAACAGACAATATTTGCCCAAAAAATATCTGTAGCCACTTTTCAAAAATACCCATTTTCGAAAAACACCTTGTAACTCCGAAACGAAGACAGATGTCGATATGCGGTTTTCACCATTGAGTTTTTCATGAGAATCGACCGTCAGACACCGACCTCAGTTTTCTTCCATCTGGTTCCAGAAAAGGACGTTTCCTTCAACAGTGCCCAATTTGTCCCACCCTGTACGAGTAGTGAGGACGAATCACAGGATTTGTTCCAAAATATTACTGCGTTGAGAAATTTCTCCTGAAAAATATATCAAGTTCACAATCAGAATCCGAAATGGGTACCTACCAATTTTGATTTATTGGCACTGCTTTCTTGCCATGTTACAACTCGAAATGAGCTTGAATTCAAGTTTTGTTTCGAAGTCACCTTGAATTCGTGTTATAACTAGGAATCAGTGCAAGGTGTTGCAGCCGATACTTCCGTCATCTATTAGATTGAGAACCGATTTCGCGACTACAGAAATATATTGGTTTCATCTTCTGATAGGATCAGAAATTGAATATATCAGGATTCAGAATTTGCTTGAAAACCATCCAAATCAAAACAAATTTGACACTCCAGTTTCTCAGTTACTTTCTATGAGCAAGTCATATCAAACCAGGTTCAGAAATTGCATAATATTAGGAATTCAAAATAACCTTCAATTCCATCGAAAGCAAAAATCGAAATCGGAATTTCAAGAGCGTAGGTACTCGCCTAATTCCTGCAGGAGTCGTAGCTTGGGTGAATTTCAGTTAGAATCTCCAATGGAAATTCTGGACCACTTGTGAATATTCAAGTTGACTCTTGGTGTGATTCAATCAAAATTGACAAATACTTTATTCATCGGTTGAAACAGGTGATTGTCAGCCAGTAAAAATTTGGTACTCCATTGAATTATCACATTTTTAGGATAATGCATAGGGTACGATTCTGATTTTCGTTCAATCTATTGATGGAGAATTTATTGAATTTGCTCGTGCTTTCCTCTGTGATTTCTTCTCCAAATAATGATGTTCTTTCACATTCGTTCCTTTCAGAAGGTAGAATCAGTACGTCTATGTTATCGCGATTTTGAATTTCTTCCTCCTTATAAACTGGGCGTCAATTGAAACGTTAATAGTAAAATTTGGCATCAAATTTGACTTCTCGTAATTTCTAAAATATTGAACGAATTTTGAATTGCCGCTCAGATCCTGAATGCCTTTTTCATCGTCTTTCGAACCGTTCCTTACAGCTTCTTCTGAATTGATCAGGACCCATGATACAGGGTGAAACAAAGTTTCGTACATTTTGAAAAAAAATCTCCGCCTCCCCATTTTGTCGGAAGTTCACGATGCTCATATTTTATTCAGACGTTTTCGAATTTTAGCCAAAAACTACTGTTGTTTCCGAAAAAAATTTTTTTTTCATATTTTTTAATTGGACTAATCACCTGTATCCTCGAAACGATGAATTAGTCTTTTTATTTATTTATATGACTGACTAATTGAAAATGGTACTTAAATGAATTTGGGTATATCCTAATCGTCGTAACCTGAAATAATAATTATCTGTACTGAATTATCGTTTATATCACTTTAGTGATCCTACCTAATGATATTTTCCATTTTGACCCGATTTGAACGAGGCATCAGGCATCTTTAAATTTTTAAGGACTCGAATTACACTGACGTTTTCATGAAAATTGGCAACTGATATAACCTCTATGCATACCTACATTGTTTCAACAATACATTGTTATAGAAACAAGGTATCGTTGTTTGTTTTTGTTGATGGGATGTATTGATTCACTGCTCAATAAGGTAGAAAACATTCATCATAGACTGCGAAGTAATCAATTATTGATTGTTTTTGAGTAACCTGGTATACATATCTGCTCCAATGCTTTCCTGAAATGCATGAAAGCATCCATTTATGGAACTCCTCTAAAATTAGTCCATTTAAAAAAAAATGCAATAAACATTTTTTTTTTTCGGAAACCACAGTAGTTTTTCGCAAAAACTCGAAAACGTCCCGAGGTATCGTTGCTATTTATGAAATGCCCGAATGAAATATGAGCATCGTGATCTTCCGACAAAATGGGGGGGGGGGGCGGAGAAATTTTTTTCAAAATGCACGAAACTTTGTTTCACCCTGTATCACGGGTCCTAATCAATTTAGAAGAAGCTGTAAGGAACGGATCGAAAGACGATGAAAAAGGCATTCAGAATCTGGGCGGCGATTCAAAATTCGTTTAATATTTTAGAAATAACGAGAAGTCAAACTTGATGCCAAATTTCACTATTAACGTTTCAATTGACGCCCAGTTTATATGACGGAGATACCGCTTGTGTGGAGAATCTAGAAATGCCTTGTGGCCTGTACCTAGTGAGTGGAGGTTACGCTAATTTCGAAATGATTGTTGATGTCTGTTCTTTCCCTTCGTATCGAATAGACCCTTCAGAATCGGAAAGTTATTGATCAGATTCAAGAACGTCAAGTAATTGGTCTAACGTCATAGGTCAGCACGCAATCCCTGTGTAGGTAGTCTGTGATTCAATATGTTCGCGTTTTTTCATAGTAATGATACCATTTTTCATTCGGTTCTTCGTATATGTATAGATTGAACATTTGAGAACGAGTTGTAGTCAATATTTCTTCAAATGATAACATCTTGAAACTTTGTCAAATCACATCAACTCATAAATCAATACCTATCCTATAACAAAAAGGTATTCACCGGATGTCCATTGGAAATACTTTCATGGACATGCTGATCGTCCATTTGCCTGCATATTACAATCTCAGTCCCTTCACCGACAGGGCAACTACCCTTGAAGTTTGAAATGGCAACTATCAATTATTTTGTTATTTTTGAAATCCTATTGTGATTCCTGAAATGCTACATTCATTTTGAATTTCTTTCTTCAAAATTGCAGTACCTGACATCATGATTTTTGTATTTTAATTCATTATGATGATGAACAGACATACCAATTCACTTCATGTTCATGATTTATTCAAAAAAGTCTCCATTATTTGGAAGCAGGTCTGCGAACAGTTTGAATATCATCTGTACTTTCACTTTTACCGTTTCGCCGTTTCGAAGAAATGATAAATAAAAATCGATGTAACTTATTTGAAATTACCTGAAGATTCAAGAAACTAGAAAATATGTGAGAGTTGCAATTCAAAATTTCAGGGGTAGTTGCCCTGATGGTCAATGGTTTGACTATATATATAATGTAACAACGAATACCTCAAAAGTTGTCCTTCTTGTAATGTGAGTTGTTACATTTCCTTTGTGTCATCAGTTGAAGCAATATTGAGTGCTGCTCGTTTGCAAATTTTCATCCTGAATATATTTACATGTCGTCACGGTCAAATCTCTAGGAACCTATGAAATTGTAGGTGAGGACTGAATTCTTACCTTGTCTAAGCGAGATTGTCACTTGGCATTTGAATGAATAGACCAGGTTGAACTCAACGAAATAATTCATTCGATCTAGGTACTATCTGAATCGAAGGTGAGCCTTTGCTCTCCTAGTCGGGGAGGTAGCGTCAAATTTTCATGGGTGATTTTACTGAGAATATCCATCCTTTTATATCTCAGTTTTCTTCCTAAACGTCAGGAAAAAATATGTTAGCTGACGCGACTCCGTCACTCAAGATTGTGGGAAAAATAACGATTCTCGGAGTAT